TCCCTTACTATTGTAAGCCGCCCTGAGTCCCCTCAGGGAAAAGGGCGGCCTATAAATGCTAAATAAAATCTAAATCTAAAAAATCTAAATCTAGATCACCTACCCCACAAATCAATAAGTCAGTTGTACAGCAGAAATAGCATTCTCTTAATACTTAAATTTTACTACTAACCTTAAGAGTATTTGTAAATGTTTGTTCAAAGCAGGTAGCCATAATGTAATTCCTGAAGTTGTTTTTTTTTTTACATCTATTAAGAAAAGTAAGCAACATTTTCATTTGTGAAGAATGCAGCAGAACTAGTCAAACATTCTGGTACTAAAGCATATATTTCAAGTGACAGAAAAGTTCAGCCTCTCCTCACAACCAGTTCCTTCTTAGCAGCCTAAGAATTCAGCAATCAAAAATGTAGTTTGGCTCAGTTAGCCCAAGAGTGCTCAAAAGATCAAGTATGCAGTTCAATTAACAACACTCTCTGGATTGGTAACAAGCAAGATAAAGGGTGTTTCTCTTGGCCAATAGAATATGCAGCCTCAATTAGCTCTCCGTGCAGGTAGATAATTTCAGTATGTAACTTGATCTTGCAACCAGAAGACAGCTGACCAGCCATGCTTTCAGTTTGTTAGCAACATTTATAATTCTATGCTTATAGTTTTAATTGTTTGATATAATTTGATGTTTTATGCACACTGAAAATTAATGCTGTTTAACCCCATATTCCTGGCTAATTCAGAATTGGATCTACAATTTATATGGAGTCATCTGATAGACTTCTGATTTCAGATTGCAGGTGGGAACAATACTTTAAAATTATAGGGGCATGCTATGTTTTTAATGTGTTTTTTACTTATGATTTATTATAAATGCATATGTTATTTCCTGCTTTAAGTACTGTTAGGTAAAGAGAGAAACTAAGAATAACCAATCACGAAACACTTTTTTTAAAATCTGAAAAACAATGTTGTTAATCTTAGATTACTTTGTCCAGGGAGCATTTTTATTTATTTATTTTTAAATTGTAACCACCTTCTGAAATAGTATAAGCCAAAACTGCTCAGTGAAAATATTGCTCCTTTTATTGTATTTGTCACTTTTACCTCGGAACTTTCTACTCAAAACTTGAAGTTTAAATTTTAAAATGTCAAAAGATTATTGCTTAACAATGCATAAATAAAATTAACTTGGGCATGATTTGCCAGCAAGGTCTTATTTATAATCTTTACTTCTGTTTTCATTTTAATGTACTTACAGTAGTTACTATGAATTGTCTGAATTATTCTTCTGAGTAAATCTGGATTATACTGAAAGACTTTTTTCCCTATTTGAACAAATTCTGATATGAATGTACATGTACTCTCATTGATAAATTGTAAAGATCCTTTGTGATAAACTCATTGGTCTATCTAGTTCAGAAAATTGGCAAATATTCCGCAGCATTTCTACAAGCTTCTTTCAAAGATGTGAGTCATAGAATCTGGGACCTTCCATCCATAGAATGTGAATTTTAATACTCTGCTTTAGCCCTTCCTGTCCTACTAAAGTATTCAACCAATTTGAATAGCCTGGTAAGGAATTAATATATAGTTGAACATATTTGGATTTGGATTTTATTGGGTTTGTATGCCGCCCTATTCCCGAGGGACTCAGGGCGGCTCACAATAAAAAAAGGGAAGGGATACA